TCTTGAGAATTATCAAATACTTTATAGTGTTCTTCCCAGATTATTTTGCTAATATTACAATCAATTGCAAAGTGTTTAATCGTTTGTTTCTTTTCAGAACAGTTTAGGCAGTTTTCATTTATATCTTTGTCTATGTGCATTAGCCTGTATTCCAGTGGTAATACATTATTTTGTAATCTCCAAAAGATGTTCTTTTTTTGATTCAATACTTCCTTTGTATTTAACCATTCAAAAGGCTTTCATTAGTTTTCTTGTGATGTTATAGGGACTTGAGAGATTGTTGGTATTATTGAATGTAATCTCAGATATTCTATTGCTTTTTTTACTAAGTACTGATCTTCTGACTAGTTACTTATTTTTAAACTGGAGGTATTCTATAGCCAATTATTTGTAGAGTTGGTTGTTCTTTTAAGTCTCTTCCATGCTGTTAGGTATAGTCTCCAGATCTCTGGCCAGCCCTTTAGCTTTATCGGATATTTGGTTAAGGCCTTAGTTACAGTTATTCTTCTTTTATTCTATAACTGTTTAGATATTAGAACTCTTTCTGTTTTCACCCATAAGCTGTTTTAGATTAGAAGTTTGATCCATACTGATGTTAATCTGGCATCCAGAGCATCTTTAAGCACAAAAGCTGCCAGTCCTCTTCTATCATCAGTGTTGGCCTATGACCTATTATGACCTTTATGACCTTATGACTATTATAGATCATAAGGTCATAAAATATGAGCTATGAATTATGACCTCGGTCATAATTTTATTCAATAGAAATTGCAAATAATTAAATAATGAAACCATGTAACAAATTAATAAATTTCAATACAATTTAATGCAAATTTATCAGAAACCTACACATTAACCTTGCAAACAGAAAATGTATACCAGGTTACAGTTAAATATTAGTGATGCTATATTAGTAAAATCGCTCAAAGAAATTTTTTGTTAGTGCACTAAAGGTAATTTCCTATACAGATTTTGAGTTATGAGCGATTTTTGGCCAAACGAACATTTGTTTTGAATCTTCATATCATGTTACATTACAAACTAATCTTGAAATCTGATTCATAGTTTAGAAGATCTGCATTACAAACCTGATACACATTTTCTGACTGCAACCTAAAAGTATTACGCACAATTTTATAATATTATGCATAATTCAAATTGGAAATCATAATACCACACATTATCCATATGTATATTTAAAAAAAATCCATACTACATATCTATTTAAATACAAAAAGCAAGGATCTTTATAACATTATTTTTCATATCTTGGACTCATTGCTTGTTATTCATTACTATATAGTAATTTATGAGTTATCCCAAAATAAAATGCAAAATAATTCCGTTCGATAAAAAAATACCAAGACATCATATCCCGTAAATAATACTTATAAAATATGTTTAATTCACAGAATTAATTGGTGGCAATATACTATATTATATACATCAATAATTGAATAAAATTTCCAAAATTAATAATATTTTATGTTCATCTTTTCCAAATGCCAATTACATTAGGTCTTCTATTTTCAACAATAGATGTTTTGTGTTATTTGATTCTGATTCCATTAATGCTCATTTTAACAGTTAATAAGTATTTTACCTTTTCCAATTTATGTTCGTCTCCGATTCCTTTTTAATAACATACACCAACCAAATTTGTTACTATAGCATTACCTATAACAGCGATTTTTTGATAGTAAATAAATACCCTGTGTTCGTTTTTTCTAGCTATGATTCAAATTTATAATGATAACTGACCATCTGCATCACTTACATCATTAGATAAGCTTATTAATTATATTCCAAATTTTTGTAGATTAATGAATGTTTTACGCTTATCATTTCAATTTCCATTTTAGCATATTACTGAATGCTTTATATTCACCTTTTTTTGATTCAATTCTACTAGTTTTTTTTTAAATGAATATTTTTTTTTATTAAAAATTAGTAAGCTCTGAATCAAAATATAGTGACATTTCCAAAGAAAAAACAATAAGTGAATCTAAAGGCCATTTGGCCCTTTCATCATCAGCAGGATGTTTTTCTCACCCTTATAAACTAAAATCTGCATCCCATTTACTTAACAATAAAATTTCATCATCTTTGTTTTCGAATTTGTTCTCACACTCTCCAACCTCAATCTATTCATTAATTAGGTTTTCCCACCTTTGTTCCTCTTCTGCAACTAAATCTTCATTTTCTTTAAGACTTCGATTTTTTTGATTATGAGATCTAATAGCTGTCCCTTCTTCAACATCATCGTCATCACTTACTTGATAATCTAAATCAGTGATGACTAATTCTTGTTCAACATTTTCATCACCTAACAATATAGGTGCTGCAACATGTAGTCTGCAAATTTGGTTATTATATTCTTTTGCGTTTTTTATTTTATGAGACCAAAGGATGTCACTTCGAATTTGGCTCATTGCCAAGACTTTATTTTGCTATGATATTATATAACAAATATCAATTAGA